TAGACAGCTATGTGATAGGCACAACTTTGAGCATTACATTTCCCATCTGTAAAATGGGAATAATGATACTAAGAGGGTTGTTGTGAGAATTTAATGAGATAACAGAGCCTGGCAGAGGATAATGCTCAATACTTGTTTATTCTCTTATTCCCCTTTGGGTGTTGGCAATTTTGAATATTTAGGAAACAATACAACTTAATTTGTATTACTTACTTTTGATACTAGCCTAAAAACATAGTAAAATATTTGAACTTGCTGACAGTCACACAATGCATTCCAAAGTAAAATGGAAGAGCATTTTATGAGATTTATGTTTTTTAATTATCAGTTGACCATTTATATAGCTAAATCAGGGTTGATTCTATATGCACAAATGATTGGCAGAAAAAAGCACACAATTATATGACCTCATGACTTTACATTATAATCAACTGGTACCCTGTGGGCACTGACCAATTAGAATGGACACCTGTCACAGTGCTGGAGCAGGGGCTCATAGGTCCTACTGTGACATGTCAGACATCAACACTTGAATTGCTGGACCCTAGGAAGTTTTGAGGGTCTGGGAAAGGGTCTGGAAGAAATAGGGAGTCCTTGAAAGGGCTTGGAGTAGTAAATTTTGATGTATTGATATTTTAAAAAGTGGAGGTATAAATCAGACTCAGTATCTCTGATCATCTAGAACTCCACAGTAATATCTTATAAACAAATAAAATGTCCTTTCACCACCACTTTTCCCCCTAATTCCAACTGAAATACAATTGTAGTATTGATTGGCAAGTTTCTGAATGAGCTGTCAGGTTACTGAACCTTATTCTCTTGGTAAATCAGCCCAGTGGCTCAAAACAGGAAAACTCCTTAGGTGGGATCCCAGAATAGGCATGGAACAAGTGGCTTGTGTTAAGAAATATGTACCCTAATCTTGACACTTTTCCATTAATTAGGAATCAATTTCCATAAGTAGTGTTGTAAAGTCTGGGCCTATCAATCATTCTACTTTAGAAAGATTTATTTAGTTTCTTACGCTAAGGATCTTTATTGGGATCAAGGTGTAAGGGGAGAAAAGAGATTATTTTGAGAGGTAGTTTACTTTAAAAGTAGGTGGAAGTAGGAGCTCTACATTAGGACATTTGGACACTCATGAAGTACTCCTGAAGTTCCTGACTGCTGAGGAGTTATGACAAAGGGGTCCTGAGAAGTTGTCAGCATAAGTGCTTCTCCCCAGGGGCTGACCCTTTCCACACAAACAGTGATTTGGGCATGGGTAGCATCAGATGCTAACATGTGCTCCAGCATGAGAAAGAGATAGTTAAATGCACATGTAAGTTCTTGATGAACCCACAGCTGTGCTGAGCAGCACTGTCTGCAAACACAGAAGGAACAATAAGTGCTTCTCCCCAGGGGCTGACCCTTTCCACACAAACAGTGATTTGGGCATGGGTAGCATCAGATGCTAACATGTGCTCCAGCATGAGAAAGAGATAGTTAAATGCACATGTAAGTGAACCCACAGCTGTGCTGAGCAGCACTGTCTGCAAACACAGAAGGAACAATGGAGTTGAAAAGTAGCCGAGCATTATTTTCCTCTAGTTGTGAAGACAATCATGAGTTCACCTGTGATGTTTAGTGGCCTGGAACCTGAGGTTGGAAGGGCACTTAAGGGAAGGAAGGGAGGGAGAGAAAGAAGACAAAGAGAGTCATATAGTTCTAAGCAAAGTTTCAGTAGGGAATCTCTTGGAAAACTGTCAGTAGGTAACTCAACCACACTAATTCTTGAACCACTGAGATGGCCTACTTAGAGGGCAGGCTCACATGAAGAAATCTTGCTATGATTATAGGTTGAGCACAAAGCTTCTAGTTGAAGTCCTTAGTAAATGGAGGTACTGGTTTAGTTTTGCACCTGAAGTAAATTTTCATTAATTATGTTTATACTTTTTAAGTTCTTTTATGCTCTTTTTTCTTTATCCAGAATTCCAAAATGAAGAATATTCTGGTTAAGGGCATTTTTTTAAGAAATTGCCTTTAGTACTATATACAGAACAACAATTACCAAGAATTGAAATGTATTAAAACATACTTAACAGTCCAGTAGTTCTTTTGTGATTTAAGAAGCCCTTAAGGAATTCATATTGCTTAAGCCACATCAAGGGCACTAAGTTCAGGATGTCAAATATGAGTATTTATCTGATGTCAGCATAAGGATATACATGTGGAATTGATTGAATTGATTTTTAAGTGGTTTTAGCCAGGATTTTTTTTCAATTTCCTCCAACCTAGAATGTAAAAACTGCAGTTAAAACCAAATTGTGTATGTGAATACATGTATATGTATATCATTTTAACATTTATGGTAATAAAAAGTTCATTCTATATTTTACAGAATTTTCAGTTGTGAGCTTATTTGACCTTAAAAAGCCTTTGAATATTATGGAGAAACAATATTTTCTGATACCTTTCACTAGAAGACTTTTTAAAAAATCAGGGAAGATGAGTTTCTAAGCAGAACTAGGAGCATAATAAGCTATCTCCTAAATTTCCAGTTGGTGTGAATATGTTTGCTTAGAAGGAATCTGCTTCCAAACAACTTTAATAAAGTTGTTTTTTAAATGTAGGTATAACTTGCATACAGTGAAATAAATAAACAGATCTTTAATGCTATATTTTGATAAATTTTGACATATTTATACACCTCTGTAACTACCTCTTTAATCAAGATATAGAACATTTTTATCACCCAAAAAATTTCTCTTACGTGGTTTGCCAGTCAATGCCTGTCACTCTGTCTACCCCAAGATAAACACTATTTTGATTTCTATCAACACAGGTCAGCCTTCCATGTCCTAGGACTGCACAGCTGGTGTATTAAAGATGGCCACATGTTCCTTGACAGTCTTTCCATTAGGAGGTGGGGTGTATGTCCCCTAACTTTGAATGGAGATGGAGTCTCTAAGAGAATCCTTTCAGACATTGAAAGATATTTGGGTTGTTTTCAGTTTTTGCCTATTATGAATAATGTTGCTGTGAACACTCTTGTAGAAGTTTTGTGTGAACATATGTCTTCATATCTCTTGGGTAAAATAACTACAAGTGCGATTGCAGTTATATGGTAAATATATACTTAACTTTATAAGAAACTGCCATATCTTTTTCCAAAGCCATTGCACAATTTTATAGTTTTACCAGCAATGTATGACGGTTGTTATTTCTCTTTATCCCTTGCTACTATTGCTACTCTATATTGTCAGTCTTTTAAAATTTTAACCATTCTGGTGGGTGTATTGTGATATATATTTGTTCTCTTAGTTTGTGTTTTGGTAAGTAATAATGCTGGCATTGTTCCATATGCTTATAGGCCATTTATATTTTTCCTTTCAAAAGTGTCTGTGCAAATGTTTTTCCCATCTGTCATTGGGTTACTTGTGTTTTTATTATTTATTTATAGGTCTTGTTTATATATCCTGATATTGCTTATTTTTCTTATACAGGTTTTGTGAAAATATTCCCCTAGTATGTCTTACCTATCATTTTACTTATTCATTTCATTACTATGTCTTTGATGAGCAGAAAAATTTTATTTCAATGAAGTCCAATTTATCAATTTTTTATGATTGGTGTTTTCCATGTCCTAAGAAATTTATCCTACCCTAAGACTATGAAGATATTCTCCTATGTTTTCTTTTAGAAGCTTCATGATTCATATTTTATGTCTGTAATCCAACTTAAATTAAATTTTGTGTACACTCTGAGATACGGGTGTTTCTTTCTTTCCAACTACAGATGTAGTTGTTCCAGCACCACTAATTGAAAAGAATTTCCCTTATTCATTGGATTGTTTTAATGCCTCTGTTGAAAATTAATCAATTGCACATATGTGTTTGTTTCTTTCTAGATACTCTAATATACTTTGTTATCGAGTTTCCTAACCTTATATCTATACCACTCTGTCTTGATTAATGTAGTTTTAGAGCAAGTCTTGAAATTAGGTAAGTCTTTCAAGTTTATTCTTTTTTTCTAATTTATTTTTGCTCTTATATATCTTTTATATTTTCATGTATATTTTAAAATTAGCTTGTCAATTTCTAGATTAAAAAAACTTGCATGGGCTTTGATTGGGCTTGTGTTGAATCTATAGATCAGTTTGTGGAGAATCAACATCTTAACAATACAGAGTCTTCTGATCCACAAACATGGTATACTCTGGATTTACTCAGATATTTGTTTATTCATTAAAGTTGTTTTCAGTCTATGGGTTTTAAGAATATTTCATCACATTTTTAATGATGTGATTTTAATTAATTGTTCAAAAGTAGGTTGAACATCTATGCGTCAGGTACTCTTTCATTTGCTTCAGACACAGGACCAACAACTCTATCGCTTTCATTCTAGAAGAGAAGACAAAAAACAGTCAAGCAAATAAGCTGTATATGGTAATAAAGGCTATGAAGGAAACAATGTCCCATAAGAATAGGAGGTAATGAATGGGTGCATTTTTAATGGAGTAGTCAGGAAGCATCTCTATGAGGAAGTAACAACTTCACAGAGGCTCAAATGTTTAGGAGCAAGTCATAGTGAAGATTTGAAGAGCTTTCTAGGTAAAAGGTCCTGAGAGAGAAAGAAGTTTGATACATTTCAATAATAGTAAGAAGAGTTGGGGGTAATATTGCAATGTGGTTTTGGGGTATTATCATCTGATTGCTTATATTTTCTCAAGCAATGAGAATTGAGATAATCATTTGAGACTACCTGGATAGAAGTTGGAGAGAGGAGGAATGGTAAAATAGTTTTTTGAGAACTGAAAGAGCAATAATACAAGAGAAATATAATAGTATTTCTTGGACTCCACTTCAGAGTACGCTGTGAGATCTGGATCATGAATTGAAAGGTATTTTAGTAATGATTGTGAATTTTGCTGCAGCCAAATTCATCTGTTAACAGAGCAGATGTATGGCTAGTGTGGAGTTTGGTTTAACCAGTACTGAAATTTTTTTCCTTTTTTCCAGGCAAGAATTCCAGAGAAAGAAGTGAGGAGAAGAGAGTTGAGAGTACATGCAATGAAGTGACTACAATGATGTTTTATGGAAGATGAGAGAAGCAAGACTATAAAGGGAATAAGGGAATGTTTTAAATTGTGCCAAAGGACTTAAGATCAAACACCTTTGGAGTTCAGATATGAAAATACATGCTCTAGAATGATAGAATTGGTAGCGTAGGCTGTTGAATAAAGATTTTGGATGAACATTGCCAAGACATAACCTTGAGATTGGAAAAAATAAATTTTGGAAATAAGGAAGTAATGAATAAGAGACCAGGACATCAAGATGAATATTAAACTCATTAAGAATGATGACAGAAGTATTGATGGAGTGGATGACAAATGAGAGAGAGGGATCCAAAGGTTGATTGTGACTATAGTATCACTATCTATACCACTATAGAATGCTACCCTGGGTACAGTCTGATGGACTGTGCTTCATAGATCTGGTGATTTTAAGAGAAGAGGGGAGAAAAAAATGTTCTAGAAGCAGCAGTGAGGGTTAGAGACACCAATTCTATCTCCAGGCCTGTGGTGCTGTATGGGGTATGAGAGAAAGAGCAGCTACATAGGGCTACAAGGAGGCAGCATACTCAGGGAATAGCTAAATCTCCATTAAATGAAAAAGGTGAAGTTAATACCTACAGAATAGTTAGAAGATTGAGAAGACTTAGAAGAGCTTCAGAGAGTGGCGTGCAAAAATGTAGGAGGGCAAAAAATATTTTTGGTTGGGCAATGGACAGAGCTATTTGAAGGGGTACATGTAGGTGATGAAGGGTGGTCTGAGAATTTGGACTTCTAGCAGCACCTGAGGTAAACGAAATTGTGAAGCATGATGAGTTTCCTTCAAACGCTCTCTTAGGGGAAAATGTGTGCTGGGTCCTACACATAGCTTCCTTCTCAGGATTAATGTTTAAGCTGTTTGTGCTAGTGAGACTGGTAGTGTTGAAGCTGGGAGAGGCACAGTTTGACCGGGACCACCGGGAGCGCTGAAGGCACCTCTTGTATTTATGAAAGCCTTCATGAATGAGGCAGATTCTCAGAGGTATCACAGGCTTGCTAGTGCACATAAAAAAGAAATAAAATCATGTTTGTATTGACAGATTTAAAGTGATCTGTTACTTCTGAAAGGAGAGGCTTGAGCATGCATGGCCTTGAAAGAACTGGAGGCACAATATTGGTCAGTTGTTAGGATGTGTTTGTATTCCTTTTTAATTATTTCAAGTAATTAAATACCATTGGAAATGGCATAAAAGACCAGGACAACAATCTCATAAATATGAAAACTGACACTAAACATTTTATTTGTTTATATATGTATATACATAATATATGTAAACATATTTTATATGTAATTAATATATTAATATATATATCTTTAGATTACATTATCTCTTCATAGCCAAGCCTATTGTTTGCAGTATAATTTTAATGCCTTTGAGAAATGATAGTTGTTCAGATTTTAAAAAACATTCTCTGTACTTAACATTTGTTCAAAGATTTAGAATCTGTGTCTTCAAAGGTTTGAAAGTAGCTTTAATCCAAGAAATACTTTTTTGATTACATTTATTCTTTTTTCCCTTTGTCAGCTTGAGAGAGATAATTTAAAAGGGAGAAAGTGTGTTGAAGACAGAATAAAACTTATATTTACTATTAATGTTCTGTTGTGGGTTAGAAAATGTCTTACATTTGGGTAAATGAAAGAAAGGTTTCTTATATGATCATAACCTGGGAAGCAGCCACCTCCATTGTCTTTTCTCTTGACTTCCTCCCTTAACTGGAGAGTTTTCCGCTCCTACAGCTTCCACCATTGTCTTTCTATAACTGCCCTGCGAATTTAATTCTCAGCTCAAAGCTCCTTTCTCTCTGCTTAGTAGCTCTTTACCTGACACTTTTATGTATCAACTTACATGTTTTTTTCTCTTTGCAAATTAAACATGGAAAAGACAAAAATAGAAAAGCTCATTAATCTATGTAAGAAAAACATGTCAGGGTAAGAGAATGAAGTTATGTTACAAGCACAGTGTTGATTTTTAGCAAGTTGACCTAAGATCATTCTTCATTAAATAGCTATAATGTGGGTCACAGTTTGGATCATGCAAATGTTCTGAAATACTTATTTGACTTATAAATTTATTATTAATGTATGATAATATTAGTAATAAACTTGAACTAGACTCAGATGCTCATTTGCCAATATACTGCTAATAAACTCTATGTTCAGATAAACAAGAGAAAAAGCAATAAAAATGACTTACCAAAGGGCCCATTTCCTACTTGATATGACAGTCTTAATTTGTTTTCTATGCCTTTACTTGTCTTCTCATTTATTACAACAGTTTCTGTTTCTAGAATTAAAGAAGGTTACATGTAAAATTGTAGTTAAATTTTTCCTCAAGTTCAGTCACCAAAGAGATGGACTTAGAGCCAAAGCAAACATTTAATGGTATAGCAAATAGGAAACTTCTTAATTTATTCAGAAGAATGTAATAAAGCTGAGCTGGAAAATCTGAAATGGGAGAAAGAAGTATAGCCTTACTAAAAGTATGTCTTACAGGTGAGTAAATGTAATAGAAAATCTTTTTAGTGATATCTAGAGTAATTTTTGAGATATTAATTTGGTTTTCTTCTCTGTATTTTTTTTTCCTTCTCTTGCTCAGTATTTCCCTTGCCTTTGTGAAAGATTGTGTCACAGTATAGAAGAAAACACTGCTTAGACTAAAGAAAAAAGGACAGAATGGAGCTAGTTTGGACAATGGGAATCTCAGTAATAATCCTTAATGGCTGTGAGACTGGAAGGATCTTCCCAATGCTTTTGTTCTTGATAAGATCCCAGAACTTTTGCATTTCACGGGGTAGGAGAATCCTCCAAATATTTGAATTTAAATTTACCACCAGTTTGGCAGTATAGAACTTATAAATGGAATTAATTTTTTAAATGTATTTGTTTTTTGTTTTTGTTATTATTATTATCAACTTTTTTTACCTTAAGGCACCAAATAGGACTAAACATAATTTTTGGTTACTGACATACTGCCATCATTGCTTATTTATGGCCTTCATTTATTTTGTTGATTTAAATTTGTTTATTTATTAACAAAATGATGAAACTATATGACTCCATTGTCCAATCAAAAACTGAATCTAATACACATCTGTATGCTCTTTTTATTGTGCTTTTTTGTCTTCCCTTGGGGTGGTCATTTTTTTGTTTTGTTTATTCATACTTTGTCTTAAAGAAAAATTATTACATGCATATACTGTCCTAAAAAATTTTTGTTTAGTTTTGCTTCTTTTTGAATTATATAAAAAGGGTACCATATAATGTGTCTTCTGGGACTGTCTTCTTCCACTCATTGTTATCATAATAAAATTCATTCATGTGTTACATGTAGCTTGTTTCATTAATTTTCATTGATTTTTAATATCCAAGGTCCTGTCAATGGGCACCTGATTGTTTCTGAATTTGTGTTATCATTAATAGTGCTACTAGGTGTTTTCTGGTGCTCATTTGCTAAACTTCTCTTGGGTAAATCCCGAGGAATGCTTTATTGGGTGTACAAATATTCAACTTTAGAAGATAATACTGAATTATCTTCCAAAGTGATTTTTCCAAGTTACATCCCATTAGCAATCTGTGAGAGTCTATTGATTTATAATCTCTGCAGTACTTGGTATTGTCAACGTATAAGATTTTGCTTATTGGATGAATGTAAAATAACTTTCCTGGTATTTTTTCACATTTCTCTGATTACTAGTTAAATTGAGCCTCACTTCATATGCTTTTTACAGATACGTGTTTTCTCTTCTGTAAAATGCCTATTCAGATCTTCTGTCCATTTTTAATTTCTTTTTGTTTTTATTATTGACTTGTAGTAATTCTTAACTTGTAAATAGTATCAAATGTTTAATATTTTCTGTCTTATTTAATAGTGTTTTTGTAATGGCTTAAGAAAATATTTTCTATCAAAAAATTTTAAGCTTTTTATTTAAACAACACAACACTACTTCTGTTTAACATAGTATGGTAGTTTTCTAACCAGTTCTACAAAGGAATGAATTAAAAGTTGTAAGGATAGCAAAGAAGAAAAAAAGCTGCCGTTTTCAGATGATATGATTGTCTAATAGAAATCCCCCAAATTATTATACTACTAATAATGAAATAATTATAACAATGAGAGTGGAGCAAGATAGCAAAACATAAGATCAATATACAAAAGTGGATTACACCTTTATAAACTAGAAACAATTAGAATAATAATAACTATGAAAGATATCATTTATAATAATTACAATAACAATTAAAGATATGAAGATTAATTTTGTTAATAATCTAATAATAGATGTGCAAAACCTCCCTGTAGAAAACTATAGAACATTTTTGAATGATGTTAAAAAATACTAACAAGTAGAAAGTATCCCATTTTCATCATGAGATGTCATAAGCACCTTAATTGTTCCTATACTGATCTATAGATTTAATGCAACTCCAGTCAAAATCCCCAAAAGATTCTCAATAAAAGTCCAAAAATAGCCAAAATACCTCTTAAAAAAATAAAAAACATGAAGAAGGAGCTACTCTTCCAGGTATACAGGCTATTGGAGCTATATTGAGATGTGTTATTCATAAAGGAGAGATAAATGAAATAAAATACAGAGTTCAGCAAAGGACCCATGCATATATAGGACTTTGATATTTGATGGAGGTGGCCTAGAAAATCACTTGGGAAAGGAGTTGTTATTCGGTAGTAACAGCTTAAAAACTTGGTTATTTACATGGAAAAGCCTTGAAAATTAATCTCTACCATGCAATATACGTGAAACAACTTTCCATGGATTGAGAATTTAAATAGCAAAAGAAAAAATTTTAAACTTTCAGTAGAGTTAATTTTAAAGAAAGTAAAATAATACAACATTTCTGTATACCAAATTTGCAGTAACATTCATATCTCAATTATTCTATATTTTATTGAGGTATATACAGTAAAATACACAAATCTTTGTGTACAGCTTAGTGAATTTTGGCATGTGTATACACTCATGTAACTATCACTCAGATCAAGGTATCATACATTCTAACTAATTATCTGCATCAATTTCTCCCATACTTCCATCCCAGTTCACCATGGCAACTGTCATTCTGTTCTCTGTGTCTATTTTTGTTTTATTTATAATCCAATGATAAATAAGACTGATTTATTTATTTCTCTCTTCATTATTTGTATATAGAAATGCAACAGATTTCTGTGTATTTTTGATAGAATCTTCAAAGATGTGGAATTTTTAGATTCCACATATAAGTGATACCATCTTACTTGTCTTTCTCTGTATGACTTATTTCACCTAGCATAATAGGCGAAATCTTTGTCATATATAAATTCACCATATATATGTGAGTTTGTTTCTGGACTGTCTATTCTGTTCCATTGGTCTATTTTCTTGTTCCAGTACCATAAATTTTAATCATTATCACTTTGTAGTATATAATCAGTGATCTTTGTAGTATAGATTGAAATCAGGATACCCCTCAACTTTATTCTTATTTCTCAAGATTGCCCAGGCTATTTGGTGTTTTTTGTGGTTCCATATACATTTTAGCATTCTTTGCTCTAATTTATTGAAAAATGCTGTTTGTATTTTGATAGGGATTGCACTGAATCTATAGAATGCTTTGAGTGTTATGGACATTTAAAAAATATTAGTTCTTCCTATCCATGAGCGTAGAATAGTTTTCCATTTATTTGCTTCTTGTTCAGTTTTTTCATCAATGTCTTCTAGTTTTCAGAGTACAGGTCTTTCATCTTCTTGGTTAAATTTATTTTTAGGTATTCTATTCTTTTTGATGCAATTGTAAATAGGATTGATTTCTTAATGTCTCTTTGTTACTTCATTATTTGTATGTAGAAATGCAACAGATTTCTGTGTATTTTGTATCCTGTGACTTTATTGAATTAATTTATTAATTTCAGTAGATTTTTGGTAGAGTCTTCAGGGTTTTCTACATGTAGTATTATGTCATATGCAAATAGTGAAAATTTTACTTCTTTCTTAGCAATTTAGATCCCTTTTATTTCTTTTTCTTGCCTGATGGCTAGAACTTCCAGTACTATATCAAATTGGAAAAGGTCTCAGCTTTTCACCACTGAATCTGATGTTAGCTGTGGGTTTGTCATATATGGCCTGTACTATATTGGCATATGTTCCCTTTATACCCACGTTGTTGAGAGTTTTTATCATCAATGGATGCTGAATTTTGTCAAATGCTTTTCAGCATTTATTGAGATGACCCTGCTCTATGATGACCATTTTTATCTTTTTTGTTAATGTGGCATATCACATCAATTGATTTGGAAATACTGAACCATCCTAGCCTCCCTGCAATAAATTCAAACTGGTCATTGGAATCATCCTTTTCATGCATTTTAAAATTTGGTTTGCTAATATTTTCTTGAGGATTTTTGCATTTACGTTCATTAGGGATACTAGTCTGTACTTTTATTTTGTAGTGTCTTTGGTTTTCTTACCAAGGTGATGCTATCCTTATAGAATGAATTTGGAAGCTTTCCTTCCTCTTCAACTTTTTGGAATAGTTTGGGAGGGTAGGTATTAACTCTTCTTTAAGTGTTTGGTGGAATTTTCCTGTGAAGATATCTGGTCCTGGTTTGGGAGGTTTTTTAAAAATTATTATTACCAATTCAATTTCATTACTAGTAATTGGTCTGTTAAGATTTTCTCTCTTCCTGGTTCATGAAAGACTAAATGTTTCTAGTAATTTGTCCATTGTCCAATTTGTTGGCATATAATTTTTCATAGTAATCTCCTATAATCACTTGTATTTCTCTGGTGTCTGTTATAGCTTCTCTTTCATTTCTGATTTTATGTTTTTGAGTCCTCTCTCTTTTTTCTTGTTGAGTCTAGCTAAAAGTTTATCAATTTTGCTTCTTTTCAAAGAACCAACTCTTTGTTTCATTGATTTTTTGTATTGCTTTTTTGTCTCTATTTCATTTACCTCTTCTTTGACCTTTATTATTTCTTTCTTTCTAGCAACTTTGGGCTTTTTTCTTCTTTTTCTAGTTTCTCTGAGTGTAAGATCAAATTATTTATTTGAGATTTTTCTTATTTTTTGAGTTAGGCCTGTATCACTAGAAACTTTCCTTTTATATCTGCTTTTGCTGTGTCCCAAAGGTTTTGAATTGTGGTGTTTCTGTTTTCTTTACTCTCCATGTTTTGATTTATTCTTTGATTTCTTTGTTGACCCGTTAGTTGTAGTAGCATGCTGTTTAGCCTTCATGTGTTTGTATTTTTTTCAGTTTCTTTTTCCTGTAATTGATTTGTTTTCATACCATTGTGGTTGGAAAAGATGCTTGGAATGATTTCAATTTTCCTAAATTTATTGAGACTTGTTTGTAGGCCAACATGTGATCTACTCTGGAGAATGTTCCATGTGCACTAAAAAAATGTGAATGCTGCTTTTTTTGGATGCAGTATTTGGTGCAATTCCATTAAGTACATTTGGTCCAGTGTGTCATTCAAAGCCATTGTTTATTGATTTCCTGTCTGGATGATCTATCTATTGTTGTACGTGGGATGTTAAAAATTTACTTTTCTGTGTTCTACTATTATTGCTTTACTATCAAATTCTCTCTTATGTCTGTTAATATCTGCTTTATATATTCAGGTGTTTCTCTGTTGAGTGTGTAGAGGTTTACAATTGTTGTATCTTCTTACAGCATTTAACCCTTAAATTTTATAACACCTGCCTTTGTTTCTTGTTACAGTCTTTGTTTTAAAGTCTGTTTTGTGTGATATAAGTACTACTACTCAGCTCTTTTTTCATTTCTATTTGCATGAAATATCTTTTTCCATCTCTATAGTTTTGGCTTGTGTGTGTGTTTAGGTCTGAAGTGAGTCTCTTGTAGACAGCATACAGATGGTTTTTTAGTTTTTTATCTATTCAGTCACTCTATGTCTTTTGATTGGAGCATTTACTCCATTTATATTTACTTAAGGTGAATACTGATAGGTATGTACTTATTGTCATTTTACTAAATGTTTTTTTGGTTGTTTTTGTTGTTGTCTGGTCCTTCTCTAGTTCTCTTCTCTTGTGACTTTATTGTTATGGTTATATTCCTTTCTCTTTATTTTTTGTGTAGCTGTATAGGTTTTTCATTTGTAGTTATCATGGAGTTTATATATGCCATCTTACTTACTTTTACAGCAGTCTGCGTTAAGTTAATGAGTTCATTCTAATAGCGTAATTTTTACTTTCCTTCCTCCATGCTTCATGTATATGATATCTTCTTTTACATCTTTTTATTTAGTGATTCCCTTAACCAATTTTTAGAAGTGATTGATTTTACTACTTTGTCTTTTAATC